TATTTTAAATATATTTTTTAGTTTTTAAAATTTAATTTTAACATCATTTTATTAAAATAATTTAAAATTAAAAATAATAATTTTATTTTTATTTTTATTTTTAAAAAATAATAATCACACCACAGAAAAAAAGGGATCAACGTCCTAGATGGTAGGCGGTAACAAGCCTAAGGCTTGGCCTGGAATGTCATTGTCACCTTTCCTTAATTACCAAAGTAACGGGCTTGACAGCATGCGCGTGTCCCGAGAACACAGTAGGTAGTAGACTTGCTCGGCATCACGTGTTCCTGGTCTGTCCTGTTTGGTTCAGTGGGCCTCGTGCTATCCACCAACCAGCAGATCAAGCCCAACTACTTATCCACCCTCTGAATCTTATCAAGCCCACTATCCATGTCCTTTTCAATTTGTGCAGCAGCTCTTGGTTGTCCCATTTGCTCACCCAGATTGATGCTGGGTGCTTGGTTCCATGGTTAAACTTGAGTTTTAAAAAGTAATTATTTTATTATTTTTATATATCAATGTTAAAAATAAAAAATATTATTTTTATATATTAAAAAAAACAATTTATATCACTATCTCAGGGTGAGAGGAGCCTATCCCATTACATTTCTCCTGCCATATTGTAGCCATAGCTAACACAATGGAATTCACCCCGTGCTAAAAGAAAAATGTCCTCTTTCTTAATTCTAGGAATTCAAACCTTATCGGGTGGTAATAAAACATGTTCTTTTCCTTGATTTCTAGGTTAAAATCTTAATATTAATATTTTAAAAAATATAATTTATTAAAAAATTTAAAATACAGAAAATCAATGTAAAGGATATACTTTTGAAATCGTTTGAAAACCTAATTTAGTTTCCTAAAATGATATTAAAATATTAATTATTATTAAATTAAAAAATAACCACAGCTACTAACTAACCAACCATTCAAGAGAGTGTATACTCTTACATAAAATAAAAATATTATTTTAAAAAAATAATAGATTTAAAGATTTTACCCTTTTTAGCTAAAATGAAAAGCAAATTCATTATAGCTCACCCATGTTTTTCTATTCATCACTACAATAATTTTTTTTTATCATTCCAACAAAAAAAAAAGACTTTTCTTTAAATTAAAGATATTTTTTTTTATCTTTTCACAACCAGATTAGTCATCTTATATTTATCTATATTTGTCTAAGGATATTATCAACTCTTTTATATGTTAATAAATAATTAAATAACCCAAAAGCTTCTCGAGCAAAAAAAACTAACATCATCAAGCAAGGGTATTTTTTCCCTTTCTATTTTTTCTATACATTAAAAGCACACACATGTCCTTAGAATCGGTGAAATTAACACATAGAATCAAGGTTAACAGGGTGTTTTTGCCTCGAGTGTCTTGTTAATTGTTGGTTTGATCAAGGATAATAATATTATTTAACAATATTTAATATTTTTTAATTAAAAAAAGTTGCATGCGTACAGAAAATATTGTGCTTTTTGAATGACACATGTGATATCTCTTAATAGTTTAAAATGTGCTTTTTCCTTCTCATGTTATTCGTTATTATTTCCTTTTATAGTAACATGTGTCAGCTTACAGTAGCTGGTTTATCGCTCAGCTTACAGTAGCTGGTTTATCGCTGGTTGACATTTTTCTCTACTTTTTATTTTTCTTTTTTTATCCTAAAAAATAAGCTATGATCCTCATTATTATTGATATTTCATATTTAGTCCTTTTGGTTTTAATTTTTTTCTTTTTTCTTTTGTTAAATTTTTATTTGTTTTTAGTTTAATTTATAACGTTTTGTCATTTTGATCATTCTCCTTTTGACCTTTTAATTTATTCTTTATCCATTTTATCAAAGTTTTTACGATTTTCAATTTCATTATTTAAATCACGCTTATGATTTTGTTAGTTTCAATATTAAAAGTAATGGTGATAATGATAACGAAGATAATAGCATTGATAATGATATTTCATATTTAGTCCTTTTGGTTTTAATTTTTTTCTTTTTTCTTTTGTTAAATTTTTATTTGTTTTTAGTTTAATTTATAACGTTTTGTCATTTTGATCATTCTCCTTTTGACCTTTTAATTTATTCTTTATCCATTTTATCAAAGTTTTTACGATTTTCAATTTCATTATTTAAATCACGCTTATGATTTTGTTAGTTTCAATATTAAAAGTAATGGTGATAATGATAACGAAGATAATAACATTGATAATAACAACACCACCACCACCACCACTACTAATAGTGATAATAATAAAGAGCTAGCCCAGCGGTGGGAGAGGCTTGTCCCTTTTCTCCGCACCTGGGTTCGAGCCTTATCATGCACGCCTGTCACCCCCGTAGTGCCTTACCTGCTCACTGGGCTTGTAGGATGTTCAGTTGAGCCGTGAGGATTAGTCGTGGTGCGCGTAAGCTGACCCGAACACTCCACGTAAATAATAATAATAAAATAATAATAATAATAAAGAGATATAGTTCAATTAGTTAGACTTTGAGTTTGCTCCCTAAAGATCACCAGTTCGAGTACCACAAATATCAGGGTTACTGAAAGTTTATATAGTTGCTAATTTTTTAGGGTTCTAAGGAATTAGTCAATGTGTGCATAAGCTAGTCCAGGCGCCCACAGTTAGCAAAATAATAATAATAATATTAATAATATTGATAACAATAATAATTTATTATAATAACAATAGTAGCAATAATGATGATGATAACAACAACAAAAAAATAATTATGATGATGGTGTAATAATAATGATAACAATAATAATAATAATTGAGATGATAATAATAATAATTGATGATGATGATAATAATAATAATAATAATAATAATAATAATAATAATAATGGTAACAATAACAATAATAATTGTGATAATTATAGTAATAATAATAATAATAATGATGTTGTTGTTGCATAGTAGTAATAATAATAATAATGATGATGTTGTTGTTGTTCTTATTATTGCTAATAACAATATTAGTGGTAATAGTAGTAATGGTAATAATGTTTATTGCTAATAACAATATTAGTGGTAATAATAATAATGGTAATAATGTTATTAATAATAATAGTAATAGTTATATTAATGATAATAATAATAATAATAATAATAATTTTTAATTTTATTATGTAAATTATATTTATAGTTTTTTTTCTTGATAATATTAATAATAATAATAAAAAATAGCAATAATAGTAGTGAGGTTACAGGTTATATTACTGTCAGTTCTGGTACATGAAGGTTTGGCTTTGGATGGTCACAGCTACAATTGGTACTGCCAATGCTGTGGTAATGGACAGCCATACTCTGTTAATGTTACTGCTATAATCATTTTTGTCATTAAATTTCCATGCTCTCTAGTCCAAGGAGCAAACTTGGCACTTTGTTACCTAGCTATGATGCTAAACCTTACCAGCACATGGTGGAATTGTTTTGCAAGGAGGTATCAAAGTTTTGTTTATTTAAATTATAGATATTGTTGTTGTTTTTTTTGGTTTATGAAGATTAATATAGTGATGTTAAAATGTGGCTTAATTGACTCGATCAACTAGATAAAAACCCAATTCATTTTTAAAAAATAAAAATACTTTGATTCAATACTTTTTTAATATAAAAAAATACTAGAATAACAACATTTTAGATAGATCCTAGTTAAATCTGTCCAACTTATAATTTAGATTTTAGCCTTTATCAGATTCAATAATATTATCTTTTAAAATCTATTTTTTTTTTAAATGAAACAACCTTAAAAACAAGAGGGAGAGTCTTAATCAAAATTTAAAATAAACAATTTAACATAAGTTAAAAATACATGTATAAGTAGGGTTTGAATAAAAATTTGAAAGAGGAAAAAAAAAATATTTTTCAGCAACTCTTTTCCTCTCCTCTTAAAAAATAAAGGGATCAAGATAAAAATAAAATAAAATTTTGGATCAAAATATTTGATCCCTAAAGTAAAAGGAGCAAAAGGAACTTTGGCAAAACTACCATCCAAAATTTAACAAAAAAGCAGATGGGCCAATTTTTTTTATAACAGGTTTGTTCTTTTCTAATTTAAATTATCTCATGTGAGAAATAAAAACAAATAAATTTTTATAAAATCAAGAATTAAGAGGAAAATAAAAATATTAATTCTTAATAAATGAAATATTAATAGATTAGATAAAAAAACAGTTTAAGGACAGGAAAAACAGTGTCAGGAGAGAAATTCAACAATTGTTTTATTTTTAATTTAATTGTACTAGTAGGGGTGTGAGTGGTTTTATTTGCCGTTATTGTTTTATCTATTTATTATTGACATTATTTCTTTTTGGCTAAAGAACAGTTCTATTTATGAATATGACGACAAAGCTTTATTTATTTTTTATTTTTGGAATAAAATGCACTTTTATAGTAAAGTAACTATCCATCACCTTTACACAATAAAAGTACAAGCAGCATATTGATAATGATATTAATTTGATTTTTATTAAAAAAATAATTAAATTAATTTTTTTAAATATTAAAACCAAGTAACAGCGGGTTTAAACCAATTAGTTATTATTTTTTTTTTAAATTTTTTTTAAGATTATCTTTATAATTTTTAATGAGTTTAATTTCAGTTTATTTTTTTAGTTTGATTTAAGTTTTTTTCCTGTGTAAGTTGGGTTCAATTCGATTGTTTTAAAATTCTAACCTATTTAATTGATTTTTTTAATGATTTGATTTCTTCAATTATTTTTTTTAATTTTTTTAATTTAATCAATTTTTTAGTTTTTTTCTCCCCAATACTTCTACTCTCATCCCAGATAAAAGAAATTCCAAACTCAAATCTCCTTTCCAATGCGCCTGTTTGACACTGTAACGTAAAATGTTTTCTTGGAATATTTTTATTTAAAAATATATTAAAATACATTTTTTAAATTTATATTATTAGTATATCAAAAATACTAATTTAATTTTCTTTTAATTAAAATACAAAACGCATAAAAAAACAGAATTTATCGCGCTCCTGAACACCAATGTCTAAAAACACAAAACGAACTCAAAAACACGCACAGAAGAGGGCATCCACCAACGCTGGCACATCTCCTCCCACCACACCACGCAGGGCTTCGTTCCCTCTCTTTTCTCTCTTACCGGATCTCCGATCCTCCCTCACATTATCATCCGTCGTCATTCCACATAACAGCAGCATTCACAACGCCCCCAAACAAACCCAGTGAAAACCCATTTCACTAGGGGCATTTCCATTTCCATTTGTATTTCTATTTCTATGAAAAAATGAAATGAAATGCCCCCCTCTCTTTCCCTTAACACTATCTCAACAATGACCCCTCCACAACCCCTCAAAAAATGAGCAGAAACGACACCATTACTGACAAAAACGACAACAGTAACGGTGAAGAACAACTAGTTGAAGAAAAAGAAGAAGATGAACATTTCTACGAGTCATTGGATCGCATTGCTTCCTCTTCTTGTTCTTGCTCCACTTCCAACTCCGACTCCGATCCTGACCCGACCCGTTCCAATTCCCCTCGTCTTCTTGCCAGTAATTATCATGTTTGGATCTCTCAACCCGAATCCATTTCCGAACGCCGCCAACGCCTTCTTCTCCAGATGGGTCTCAGCTCCGACCCATCTCTTTCTCGCTCCAAACCCGAAACAGCTAACAACGGAGATTTTTATTTTAACCGCTCCCTGTCATCGGATCGTTTGATCGGAGAGAAACTGCATGGTCTGTGTCCAAGTGATTCAACTGCTATCGCCCGATCGAAACCAGAAAGTGGCGGTTCGGTAGATCGTGACAATGATGATGATGAATTTAATTCGTGTTACTCTTCCTCTGTTTATTGTTCGCCTTCTTCCATTTTTTTGCAAGATTCAATTAATGTAAATAGTAATGATAGTAATTATAGCTGTAGTGATAATAATATTAATAACAACAGGCACAGCAATAATGGGCTTTTTGTCGCTGGTTGCGGTAAAAAATGCAAAAGCAAAAATGGGTCTTCTCCGAAAGAGGGTAGTGTTAGTGTTGATGTTGTTTCGCCTAATAAGCCGCCTTCGGGGAAACAACATTGTAGTAAAATGGAAGTGAATCGATCAGATTCTGCGAATTCTAATGGGGATTTGAATGGCAGTTTGTCAGTTGGGAGTTCGGTGGAGTTTGCGGAGGAGTTGGAATGTAATGGGGCAGATACCGATGGGGCAGTGGTGGACGAGGGAGGTTCGCGGGTTTGTACTATTAAGAATCTTGATAATGGGAAAGAGTTTGTTGTTAATGAGATAAGAGAAGATGGGATGTGGAATAAGCTGAAGGAAGTTGGGACTGGGAGGCAATTGACTATGGAGGAGTTTGAAATGTCTGTTGGGCATTCGCCGATCGTGCAAGAATTGATGAGGAGGCAAATCATGGAGGACGGGACGAGAGAAAATCTCGATGCCGATGCTAATGGAGGGATTGGAGGTGGGGTTTCAAAGTTTAAAAAGAAGGGCAGTTGGTTTAGGAGTATAAAGAGCGTGGCGAATAGTGTGACAGGCAATAAGGAGAGGAGAAGTAGTGATGAGAGGGATACTGGATCGGAGAAGGGAGGGAGGAGGTCAAGTTCTGCTACGGATGATAGCCAGGATGTGTCATTTCACGGGCCAGAGAGAGTGAGGGTAAGGCAATACGGGAGGCCGTCTAAAGAGTTGAGTGCACTTTATAAGAGCCAGGAGATACAGGCTCATAATGGGTCGATTTGGAGTATTAAGTTCAGTTTGGACGGGAGGTATCTAGCAAGTGCAGGTGAGGATTGTGTCATTAACATCTGGCAGGTTGTGGAGTCGGAGAGGAAAGGAGAATTATTGATGGAGAAACCATATGATGGGGGCTTGAATTTGTTGTTGATGCCAAATGGATCTCCAGAACCTAATTTGTTGTCACCACTTGTGGATACCCATCAGGAGAAGAAGAGGAGAGGGAGGTCATCTATAAGCAGAAAATCTTTGAGCCTTGACCATATCATCATGCCAGAGACTGTGTTTGCTCTCACGGATAAACCCATTTGTTCATTCGAAGGGCACCTTGATGACGTGCGCGACCTTTCATGGTCCAAGTCTCAGGTTAGTTAATTTACAACTCTGTTATTCTTACTTATTAATTTTGTTCTAAAAGCAACACACATTCATCAATCATAATTAAGGTCCAAGTCTCAGGTCAGTTATATCCATCTGTAATAGTTGATTGACGTTTTGAAATTCTCTCCCTTTAGCCATTACCATCCGGCTACTAACTTTTCTTGCTCTTTAATGTGGAATGCAGTGCAGATGCAAAACTGATTTAGTTATTTACTCGCCATCTTGTTATGATGTGGTTCAAGAAATTCTTCTCTTAATTGCTTTGAGCAATTTAAAAGTTTCCATACTCATGCACCATTACACGGGACGTTCTTTTCTTTCCAATTTCTTTCTCACTTTCAGGTCTTCTTTTAAGGAGAGTTTTTCGACTCCTGTCTTGATAGAAGGTTCAACCAGATAGAGTTTTAACACTTGCCAGTGTGGAATTTATGCCAGTTCTTTTGCTTTATGTATATCGTAGTTCAGTTTCTCAGTATTTCATTGTTGGTTACGTTGGACAGTTTAGAGTTCATAAGAAACTACTATTGTCTAGTATCTGAGAGATTATTAAGTTCTTCCAGTTTAGCGCTCCCCTGCTCACATAAAAGTGGGATCCATAGGTAGTTCTCATAGCTTTCCACTTATGACCGCCCTCAAATCACAGGCCTTTTGGAATTGCGTTCCAAACAACATTTCTTAAAAAACTGATTATTTTTGCTTTAAATTAGTTTTTTTTGGATCGTTTTGATATGATAATATCAAAAATGTTTTTTAAAAAATAATTTTTTTATGCATTTCCGAGTGAAAAACATTTTGAAAAGCAACCACTACCAGACTTTCAAACACCTCCTAAATCCTTTGGTATTGTTTCTGTCATCATGGTGTATTTTAAAAGTTAGATGAATGGCAACTGAGTGGGGATTTGTGATATTTTGGCTATGTTGAGAAGGACCTCTACCTTTTTCTCTACAGTAGAAATTCATGGATTTTGGGCAGCTTTTCAAGTTGGAAAAGTTCTGAAGATTCCTTGCCTTCAGATTCTGCTTATTCTGATCTCATCTCATTCTTTCAACTTAGTTTTAGTTTTCTGATATTGACAACTTTTATCTGCTGGCATGTTCCTTTTCTTCTTTCATTTTTGTTGTCGAGATTTCATGAACTTCCGCATGGCTACAAGAGAATTGCTGTTGTTTGTTCTCTAAAGCAGTGATGCTACCACAGATTTTGTTGTCTGTTTATATTTTAATGAGTTATAACAGACTTATTGATCATAAGCAGATCTTAAACATATTTTGGAAGTGTACAAAAGTTGATATTCAACTATGAATTAAGTTTATTTAACATTTTGCTGTGAAGATTTTGAGAGGGAGGGAGATGATGAGTTCTAGGTTTTAACCTCATCTGGATAGTGTTTCAGAAGCCCTGGGGAGGCTTGTTGCCATTCAAGTTTACTTAGCTCTACCGTGAACTGAGATGTGTGCACAAATGTCTTTGTTAAGAATCATGAACCACTAGTTTATTCTTGCCTATCCTAACGAAATTCATTTTTTTTCTTTTCCCAGCACCTGCTTTCTTCTTCTAAGGACAAAACCGTACGCCTATGGCACTTGTCTAGCAATACTTGTTTGAAAATCTTTTCTCACAGTGATTATGGTAAGTATGTTGCGCCATACCTTTTTATGCTTATTCTTTGCATTGCCTATAACTTTGCAACCTACTACTTAAAAAGCTACTGTTACAATTGCCCCCCTTTTCAATAGAAGATCTCATCTGTGATAAGCATGGAAGACAGGAGTTCACACTTAACTGCATTTTCAAAACCCTATTTCACTGGTTCTATGACGTTCTAGATTTTCTTAACATTTAATGTGACTTTTTGTATATTGGCTTAACATTTTCTTTTATGAGATGGTCAAAACTAGCAAAGATCTTTTTCCTTCTTTCCTTGAACTTTGCTAATTGCATTATTTTATGGATTTCCATGATGCAGTAACATGCGTCCAGTTTAATCCTGTTGATGATAGATACTTCATTAGTGGGTCCTTAGATGCAAAGGTTCGCATTTGGAGTATTCCTGATCGTCAAGTTGTTGATTGGAATGATCTGCATGAGATGGTCACTGCGGCTTGCTATACCCCAGATGGTCAGGTAGGCCACGTTTTGCCTTCTGTATATAATATTCAAGGTTTCAATGTTTTTGCTTAACATTATTTTTTTTATGGTTTTCTGAAGGGTGCATTTGTTGGTTCGCACAAGGGAAGCTGCTGTTTATACAATACATGTGGTACAAGTTGATTCTTACCCACCATTCTCAAATTTCACCCACTCACTGACTACTAATTATTCTTTTGTTATTTGTCTTTTCTTCTCAGAGAATAAGTTGCAACAAAAATGTCAAATTAATCTGCAAAGTAAGAAGAAGAAAGCTCATCTTAAAAAAATCACCGGATTCCAGGTAATTTGGTGGCTCTAGCATGATGTTCAATTCCAGAGATAACATGTTTGGTTTAGCTTTGAAAAATACCTGAATCCATTTCCTGCTACATTTTTTTTTGCTCAAGGAACAACCTGCTGTGCATTTTTTGCACTCGTACCTTTTATGGTGCTTTCAGTCCTCTGATCAATTTTATTAAACAGTTTGCTCCAGGAAGTTCATCAGAAGTGATCGTCACGTCAGCTGATTCTCGAATTCGAGTTATTGATGGTGTTGAACTGGTTCGCAAGTTCAAAGGTAAGAATGTTGGCTTATCATTTCTTTTCTGGTCTTTTCTGGCCACGTTGTAATGAAATCATGCATGAAAAAAATTATTTTGTAAACTGACTAGGACGATTAAGTTAATAATACCAAAGCAATTAGGTAGCAAAAATACTTTGAGCCAAGACTTTTTGGCTCAGTGAAATGGTAAACCCCAGTCCATCAGGTCTTTGTTTCAATGATTTAGAAAAAAGCTAGCATTGAAGACAACTTTGCACATCATGCCTATCAGTGTGACTTAAAGCAATGCTGCCAGTTCTTTTCCACACATCAATGTTGAAATAAAAGCTCTCCCAGGTCAAAACCTCATGGAGACCTTAACAAACTTCCCAATCTCTGTTTGGGGGCATGCCTTGATGCACTGTGGTCTCAGTTTGCCTTTAACTTTGCACAATTGTGCATATTTGCTTTTTGAAAAACTTTATTGACAATATTTACTTTTATGGAATATTAATTTGTCATTAAGCATTTCTTCATTTGCCAATATTTTCCTTGGTTTCGTTAGTAACATATATTGGTAGTGTAAATATATTCTTTTACATTTATACTTAATTTTGTTTATTTGATGTAATACCTAGTTACATGCTTAGCATGCGTGTAAAAATCCGTAAGGCTTATGCCTTGCGAGGGGTAAAATACCTCATTCTACTCTTGCCTTTTAAAATGTTATCTGAAAGAACTGAATCCTACAATTTCTCCTGCCTTTTGAAGTGAGATATACAGAAATTGGATGTAAAATTAAGAGGACGAGAAGTAAATCATGTTTATTTAATTCTCCATGATAGCAGCCTTTTCTTTTCCTTTCCTGCTTATCCAATAGCTAGCGACATAGAGGAGTCAGGCTTTTTTATGCTGTTAAAATATTTGAAGATATCCAGGCATATCTGAAAAAACTGAGTAAAGGTTATGTTGCCCCATCATATCACGTATGCTGTAAGCAGCATATATTTCCCAGATTACACAATTCTGAATTTTAACATTAAGTTTGATTTTTGGGTTATTCTGGGTGTTGGAAGAGAATTTCTGTATGGCAGTTTTGCTTTTGGTATGCATAGATCATTTAACTAAACTATGGTATTCTAGCTCAAGTTTTCATAATGTCTCAACTATTTTGGCTTGCCTAGTGCTTGAATACGGGCTGGTAATGCAGTGTTGGAAAAACATGTTGATCCTGTATTAGTGAAAAGAGGATGAATTGCATTTGGATCATAATCTTCTTGAAAAATATATGGTAGATTTGTCTTCATAAGTGGAATCTTTGAAAAACCTGATTTTCTGCCTTGATTTCTCAAGTGCACCCTGTATGATAGGTCTCATCTACCATCCCCCTCCCCATGTATCAGTAACATGCTTGTAATCAGGTATCAGTCAATAAAGTTGATATATATATATATATATGTATATATATATAGGGGTTGATTTAACTAAACCTAGCTTATCCTAATGGGCTTTGTATAGTGGACCATAATACAATAGATATTTTGTTGGTAGAAATAATGAGAACAAGTTGCTTAAGCACAAGAGTCGATGGGAATCAGTCACAGTTTTCTGTACGAGGAGGCAGTAAGAAGATAAAGTCGAGCATTTTTAGGATTTTTTATGATATACAATGAAAAAATATCAAATCATGGACACCCTTAGTTTTAAACAACTTGAAATGGCATATATTAAGGAGTCTTCATATGAGGTGGAATAGGAAATGTTTGATCTTACTCTTATTCTTTTTTTTGGGAAATTGATTGCACGTAGCTTTTTTTTTTCTCGTACATTTGAACCCATGTTCCAAAGGCCAAACCTTGTATCAAAGGCGTAAAATTTGGTGCTTGTGATTCCATTTTAGACTTGGTAACAGTATTTAAACTATCTATATCTATTTAAGGTTTTGACAAGTGATGCGATCTTGTTTTAGAATTCTAGGTCTTTAATACTGTTTCTTCAGCTTTGAAGGTGAAAATCTTCTGGAGTAATAATTTGATAGTGTAGGTCTTGAACAGAAACGAATTGATCTCTTCAGCTGCTTCAATGGTTGTTTCAATCAGCAAAACCTGAAAGGTTTTTCATTAACCTCCATTTTAATGCTTGTCATAGAAAATCATATATTTAGCAGTGCTTGTTGTCTTTGCTCCCCCCCCTCTTTCCTATGCATGCATTTTTAGGATTGTACCATCCTCAAAGATTAAGTTGATGATTCTGTGATAGGTTTTCGTAACACCAACAGCCAAATCTCAGCTTCTCTCACAGCAAATGGAAAATATGTGGTCTCTGCTAGTGAGGATTCATATATTTATGTCTGGAAGTATGAAGCTGATTCCGGACTTAGCAGAAGCAAAGTTGTTGCTGTCACACATTCCTATGAGCATTTCCATTGTCAAGATGCATTGGTGGCGATCCCATGGCCTGGCATGGGAGACACCTGGGAGCTACAAGATACTTTATCTGGAGAACAGAGTGGCCTCGATAACCATCTTGATGAGGTTTCCATTGTCAATCACCCACCTACTCCTGTTGAGGAAGCAAGTATTGAGGGGTCACAATCTTTATCCGGGTGCACAAATAGTCCTCTAAATGGAATTATTTCTTGTGCAACCAATGGTTACTTCTTTGACAGAATATCAGCAACATGGCCGGAGGAAAAGCTTAATTTAGCGACTAGAACAAGGAGTCCTCATGCCAGTGTGGATATCTCCAATGGGTTAAGCGAAAGTGTGTCTGCCTATGGTATGGTGATTGTAACTGCCGGCCTTCGAGGGGAAATCAGAACTTTCCAAAATTTTGGATTGCCAGTTCGGAGTTAAGGGGCTGAAAAGAGAATGATCTGGCAAATTAATGCAGGTCATTTTCGCCACTGGTTAAAACATGTACAGTCACAGAGGTATTCGGTGAAATGTGTAATTTAGCGATTTCCAATTCTTCTTGTGCTTCAGCTCATTGGATATTGAGTGCCGATGGATGAGCATTGAGAAGAATATAGATTTGTTAAAAAAAAAAAAAGAAGCGGGGGGGCGGGCCCAACTATGAATTTAGAAACCGATGTAGAGCATGGAAAAACCTTATTCAATTAAAATGAAATTCTTTCATATTCTTTAATGATCATGTCCAGTCTTGTAGGTTCTAACTTCTAACCCATTGTTGTCTATTCAATTATTGGCGCTCAGCAGCACTGTTTTTATCCGTCCTTGAAGTGACCTCACAGCTGCTGTTCTTTTGTTTCAGAACCAAATGCGTTGTGCCAATTTCTTTCCATGGAGCTAATTTAGACATGTATAATGAAGCAGATTGGCTTATCATTTTGTCCATTAATCCAAGGCTTGGGGCTTGGTCTTAACAGCTAGTAAGGTTATATCACAAAAGTTACCACTTGGTGTGAGCTTTGGCAGGCAAGCACATTTCCGCAGCTAAGAGGGCAGCTCTTAACCATCCACCAACTCATAGTGATGATTTAGCTGAGAGCTTGCGGGTGATAGTAGAAATGGACCTGAACCAAAAAAAATAAAATTCTGTGGAAGCCCATTGTGGCTACCAAGATCCAAACACATGTATGTCCCCGTCACTGCAACCGGGGACCCTCCACTTTGTCATGGCGCCTTGGCTCCCAGTCTGCAACCACCCCCCCAACCATAGAGAGGCTGGCAAAACCTTGGCTCGAGTGGCACAACCTCTTAATCCATAATCCAGAAATATGCCCCCACCATTCCCTGTCATATTCAACACCTCAATATCTCCCAGCCCATAGCTAAGAGGAGTGGAACATTTTGGGAAACGCACCCAAATATCCCTAACTATTTGTCAATTATCAAAGGAACAAAAAGACAAGGCCATTAATATCATGGGAAATCCAAAACTCAAAATCTGATTGGTGCTTGGAAGTGACGTGGAAGATACATGTGCTGCTAATGATCTTATCCTGTCTGCCAAACATATCCTCCCCCCAACACACACATCACATATAATTCCAAACAAGCTCCTTTGCACACTAGTAAGCTGAGCTCTTCACTCCAGTCGGTACTGTATACAAAATCTATAGTCCTTAAAACAAAGGATTTGAAAGCCCATTTTACGAGGCACAGAGTTTGCTCTGCAAGCGTTAATGGCTCTCCAGGCTGCTTCTTTGGTTTCCTCTACTTTTGTTGTTCCCGAAGAGGTCAGATAATAGTAGTGCTTTGTTTTGTCTTTGTTTTTACTTGTTGCATTGAAGGAAAATTTAGTGTTGATTTTGGCAGTGGTTTTTTCTTTGCAGGGAAAATCTAGTGCATCTTTGAAGGAGTCAAGCTTGCTTGGAGTTTCACTCTCAGACCATGTCAAAGCTGACTTTAGCTCTTCTACATTGAAGTGGAAGGTAGCTACTATGCCGGTTCATTCTTGCTTTTTTTTTTTGGCTGAAAATTGCATTAATTCAAACTCGCAAACAAAAGGGATTTTTCTAATGAATTCATTTGTATAATATTATTCACAGAAGAGGGAATTCAACCAAAGAGTTGGGACTGTAAGAGCCCAAACAATGGCCACTGCTACTCCAGCAGTCAACAGGGCTTCTTCAGACGGCAAGAAAACTCTTAGACAAGGATGCTGCATTGTCACTGGTGCCTCCTCTGGATTAGGTCTAGCAGCGGCTAAGGCTCTAGCTGAAACTGGAAAATGGCACGTAATTATGGCCTGCAGAGACTTCCTTAAGGCAGAAAGGGCTGCTAAATCAGCTGGCATTGCCAAAGAGAACTGCACCATTATGCATCTGGACCTTGCTTCACTGGACAGTGTCCGCCAATTTGTGGATACCTTTAGGCGATCAGGAAGGGCACTTGATGTGCTAGTTTGCAATGCTGCTGTTTACCTGCCAACTGCAAAAGAGCCTACATTCACTGCTGAAGGATTTGAACTTAGTGTTGGAACTAACCATTTGGGTCATTTCCTCCTTTCAAGATTGTTGCTTGAGGACATGAAGAAATCTGATTACCCATCGAAACGTCTCATAATTGTTGGCTCAATTACAGGTATATACACTATAACACATTTAAGGTTCATTTTCTTGTGAATATGTTTCGATTGTTTACACTAAATTTGGTGTTGTTTCTGTGAAATGTTTTAGGGAACACAAATACATTGGCTGGCAATGTTCCTCCTAAGGCCAATCTTGGTGACTTGAGGGGACTTGCAGGGGGCTTGAATGGGCTAAACAGCTCAGCTATGATTGATGGTGGTGAATTTGATGGTGCCAAAGCCTACAAGGATAGCAAAGTCTGCAACATGCTCACTATGCAAGAGTTCCACAGGCGTTTCCATGAAGAAACTGGCATTACATTTGCTTCCCTTTACCCAGGTTGCATTGCCACAACAGGCTTGTTCAGGGAGCACATTCCTTTGTTCAGGCTTCTATTCCCTCCATTCCAAAAGTACATCACTAAGGGCTTCGTCTCCGAGGAAGATGCTGGAAAAAGACTTGCTCAGGTAACCAAAACAGGGGAAACTATAGAAATAAAAATGCTCTGCTATGGGTTTGTATAACGTGCAATAATAATCTGCTCTTTCTTGTTTAGGTTGTAAGTGATCCAAGCCTGACAAAATCAGGGGTCTACTGGAGTTGGAACAAGGACTCGGCTTCTTTTGAGAATCAGCTATCTCAAGAAGCTAGTGATGCAGAGAAGGCTCGTAAAGTGTGGGAGGTTAGCGAGAAACTCGTTGGTTTGGCCTAATTAAGGCTGGAGAGAGTTTCTTGTGTACTAATCTTTGCAATGGGAGAGGCTGATGCGAGTGCAAAAAAAAAAAAAAAAAAAAAAAAAAAAGAAGAAGAAATACCGCGTCCTTTCGTGAGTTTGGATTTGGATGATTTGCTTGTGTAAACAATTTTCACTTTGTAGGAGTAGATGACTCCGTATCAATCAAATGGCACTAAAATCACTCACCCGTACTGCAAAGTTCAGATTTCTCTGATTAATGTTGGCAGGTTCAACACTTTCAAATCAGAAAAAAAGTTTTCTTGCCTATTTAACAGCTAAATGGACCATTTTGCAATAAACAAGCGGTGCCTGTCTGTTCGTTGTTTTGCACTTACAGAAGGCAAATGGCTGGAAGTGTTGTTGCTGGTATTTTGTCAAGGCCAATGCAAAATCGTTCATGTGCAATATCACTTGTTGTTGCCTTGTATACAGGTTTCTACCCCTCTCAATCCATTTTCCAAATTTTAAGCTTCCTCAACTTTTGACTTTAATACGGGTCAGCGGCTTGAAAACTGTTGTTGCTTCTCATCATTTTCACTTTTCCATATCAGACTTGGAAAAGTTTCCCTGGTCTTTATCAACTAATCATGCCATTAATGAATTCGTGTAGACAGAGAGAGAGAGAGAGAGAGAGAGAGGGAAAGAGAGAGATTACTGAAATACAAGTTCATCTACAATGCCTATCCTTGTTAGTAAAACTCTTTCTATTTATCCAATGAAAAAGAACCGAGTTATTCAGATAAAACCAGAGAATTGCACATGGTGGGCGCGGCCCTAGATGTGGCTAAACACAGCATGAATAAGAAGCCCCGAAAGCTAAAAAAATCTTTAGTAGTGTTCCCTAATGAGCATTCTATACTTGAGAAGAAAGTAATTCAAAAAGTTAGAGCCATACAATCAAGTAGCTAAATCCTTTCAAATATCTACAGACTGTATTAAGGTTAACAAGCAAACATGATATGATACATCTAGTAACAGTCGAAATATTATATGGCGATCTAAAGTTCATAAGCAGGGAACCTGGCTTCCGATGGTTCAAGGATGTCAAGGAAGAGATAAGCCATTCCTCCAAAACCCTCAAACAGTGAATAGGGGCGATCACCCCCATGCATCTTCCCTTCTGATACAAGTTTTTGTGCTCTATCATATAGAAAGCAAGCAAAGGCTTTGGCCCTGTATAAGTATTCCACATTACCTGTTAATCGGTAAAGTGAAACAAAAACATAGGTATTTCCACTGATTCCATGACATATGCCAACTCGCTTTAGCAAACCCCGGTTCCAAACCACCTCCCCTGCCTCCATCGCTGCCTGCAGAAACTCCTTATCTCCAAAAACCTGAATAATTCAAACATTGCAAAGAAATTCATGATGAGGTCACAGTAGCATTTCTATATTACAAATAAGACTACAGATTATGGTCTTTAACAGAAGAACAAAAAGGTGGTGGATGCAGACATCTGGAAAGTGGTAGCGATGACTTGTTCAATCTCATGTTCTGAACTTTTAGCACTAGAAAAAGACAGGTGATCGTTCCACTTTGGAAGAATGGTTCTTCCTCTATGAGACTGAAATTCTTTCTTCATTTCTTAATATGGACGAGATCAGAAATGTCATCAAACAATGGAATATTTATTTGGCCATTTACATGAAAAAATAGCATTAAATCTTCAACTAATGAGGTACTTTCACCAATTTTTATTAGCAGGTACGCAAGACAAAATGCACATAGTAAAAGACATGCCTAGATAAATTCCATTAGCACCTAGGCTACCTTATGCAGCTTGCATCACTATACAAGGATTACCTCAGCTGCTTTCGCAAGGGTAAGAGCGATCCCAGGAGCCCCATGACACCAATGCACAAGGCAATCAGATTTATTTCCTTCACTTGAAGGATAATTGCCACTGGGAAAATGGTTCTTAATCATGTAGTGTAAAGTACCCTTGACATCCTCCACCTCATCTGGTGTCAGTTCCAAGTCCATCAAAACAAGCATGATTCCAGCAAGTCCATGGGCAGCACCCCAGTACCTTTTTCCATGCCATTCATACAGCAGTGGACATTTTCCCTTGCGTATCAATCTTCCAGCCTTAATTATTTCATCCACAACTGCTCTCTGCAGAAGTTTCAAAGCCAACTTAGCAAAGGGTTCATTCTAATCAATAATGAATGCTGGATTGAAAAGAAATAAAAGAAATGCCTTACTTTGCGGCTTGTAGATATGGTTTCTTTACCAATATGCTTATTTAGAAATGAGCAGGCCCATAAGAACCCAGCTCTCCCATATAATAACTCATATGGCAAATCACTAGGAAGTTTGATCTGCCCTCGAGTAAAAAAAAAAGAAAAAGAAAAAAGAAAATCATATTAATTAGGTTTATAAAAGGATGAAAAAATATTAATTA